AAATATATTTTTCTATGCAAATATTTTTAATTTTATATTAATCAAGATTGCACACGATATTATTTATTTACACTTCAATTCTTACCGTCAGCTCTAGTAGAAGTTACAAATCAATTATATTTAATTAAGGATTGGATTGGATTGGATTATTTAATTATGGCAAAGCACACGAGGGCTATCTGCCTAAAGTGAGGGATGCCTTCGTGGAGGACGTTCTATGGGAACTGGCTCGTATACACGTTTCACATGGGGAAATCCACGAAAACGCCATGCAGCCAGCCCGTTCGCGGGATTCCAAACTCAGACCGAACTACCAGTGTTCAGAGTCTTTTCCGCTCGGCCGCTGGTGGGCTATTTAATTAAAAAGAATGACCATCTAAGTTTAGAAACTGCGTACCGTAACAGCAATTCAATTATTGGCGCCGTATCTTTCATGTTACTCCCGATTGGCAAGCTACATGATTTTTAATGAGTATTCGGGTTTTGCTAGTAACTTCACTTGGAAATCGAGCTTAAACTAGGTTATTTGGTTACTTGAACATAGAAAGAACATGGGAGCTATTTGATTAAGATGCTTTCATAGAGAACTTTTGTAAAGAGAACCTAGAAAACTACGAAAACCAACCATGCAGCCTGGGTTAGACTTCGCAACAAACAATTAGTATTTAACAATCTTCAAATGATAGGCAACTGGTGAGGCTCCAATTAAATCTCCAATTTAATATTTTATTTGTAAATATTTAAAATAGTGTTGCATTCTTAGACACAAAAAGCAAAATTTCAGTTTTGTTAACTCGTTAATAAACTACCAAGCCGTAGTGCAAATGAATATTCAATTTCTTTTGCAATAATTGTATTAACTTAATAGTTTTGGAATATGAGTTAAAGAAGGAACGTTCTCGGAAGATTAAAGAAGTGTTTAAATCCAGTACTATTAGGTTTGTCTTACAAGCTCAGGTTCAAAATGATTCTGCAATTGACCGAGTAGTTGACTTGTAAATGACTGTGAATTAAGCAGATGACTTTTAATCTTACGTTTTCAGTCAGAAAACATTTTCCAAATGTTTTGTATTGCATGAAAATGCATCTTTTCATTATTCAATAACCAGTCGGAGAACCGTTTGTGTTCCGAAAATAAGTATGTGTACTCAATCGTCCTGCATGTTCTTCAAATTTATCTTCTTGTGATTTTTTTTCTTTACCAAAAACTAAAGTTGCCTCTCAAAGGAAAGTCTTTTGACATTGAAGAGACAAAAGGAGTATGACAATCTACTTTTAGAGGCATGTCAAAAACAGATCTCTACAAGGCTTCTCTTCCATTACATGTTGTGCAGTCAAACAAAAAGTTGTTGCATCAGCGTAAATTCTATAATCTATTTTTATTACACTCTGGTTACTTTATTAACATACAGTGAATATATACTAAATATTTTACTTCAGCTTAAGTAATTCGGAATTTTTGACGGAATTGTTGTCGGAACAAGGACTTAGAATTTAAGTGAAATTAAATATTTCGATGACCCAATAAATTCAAGGTCGAAGTTTCAATCTTTGATTTTCGGAGGAAGGGGAAATTTTTTCAGTTTTGGTCCATTATCCTAAGTATATTTGCTTCGATTCTTTATTTTTCCATAAAAGCAAAAAAATTACGCATGGTATACATATAACGCATAGCTTCAAATTAAAATTTAATAATATTCAGAGTGGTTATAATTAAAGTTCTACATTGAAACGATCATAAAAGGAAAACTACTGGATCAAATGTTATCAAACTTGGTAATCCTGTAAAGGAGGTCATGGGAATTTATTTTCCGTAAAAAAAAGAAGTTCGAAATCTCACCACCAAGGTGAAATGGCGCTGTATGCAATATTGTTAAACGAAATGTGGGTCGGAATCTAACTTAACCTTAATCTTTGAAATGAAAGGCGATAATTTTATTTAAAATGATTGTCAGAAATACCAAGATATTTCGAAAAGTTGGATGTTTTTTAATATACTTTCAGAATGCCTGAAGAAAAAGAGAAGAAAAAATAAATTTTTGCGTAAAATTTAGTATTTGTATTTTTTCTTTTAATTTAAAACCTTTTAATCTTATTATATTTGGTTCTTGCGATTTCAAAAATAAAATACTTGACTAAAATATGTATAACATTTTAAGAAACTAAATATAGGATAAAACTGTGTAAAGCAATGGGCACAATGATAAAACTGTTTAAAGCAGTGTATGCAAGTCATCCTAAGTTAAAATGTCGGTTATACATCTCTCTTATTTATATATATCTTTTCTGAACATTGAAAGGCGTGTTAAACTGTGCTTTACTGTATTTTCTCTTTTAATATATGCAGTTTTCAAACGCATCGTAGTCTGGTTTGCAAAGTATTCTTCCGAAAGAAACGCAATTCAAATAAATAAAATCAAATTCTAGAAAATTTATATTAATAAATATATTTAAAACGCTCAGTTCGAAGGAATAAATAGAAAAATTTAAAACAATTATCTGAAGAGACAATGCAACACAAACAATGAAAATATAAAAATCTAAAAACTACCTAAAAAATAACTATGACAAAAAATATATATAAAGAAAACTATTTAAAAAAAATAAATAAATAAATAAATGCTGCACCTTTATTTACGCAGTTCGAATAGGCAAATAGAAATTTTTAAAACAGTTATTCGAAAAACACCGTGCAACTTAAACAATTAAAATGAAATTCGAAAAAGAAAAAAATACTTATAATAATAACAGTTATGATTAAAAATACAATATAAAGAATGTTATTTGGAAAAAAGGAACGATGGTGACTTTTTTTCCTCTTAAGGGAAAGGAAACTAGGTTGCCATATATTAAGAAGTTCGCCAAGTGAACTATTCTTGGCGGAAACTGAAAGAAAAGTGCCAACATAAATTGTGAATTTCTCCGTAAATTTCGCTCCAAATTTTACAAAATTTCATATTTAGGCGTAATTTGAGTTGTAGAAAATTCCGATTTGTGTCAGAATACCTATGTTAGAATAGTGCTATATATAAATCTAATATATATCCTAAGACACGCTTTCGAGACAGGAAGAACGCAATTTGAATTTTGTCAATTGGCCCAGTAGAACGGAAGATATAGAACTGTCCTTTTTTTTTTTTTTTTTTTTTGAGCAGTGTACATTTCGCTAGTATGACTGCTCTCCTTTTTATAAATAACTGCTTTATTCTTAAGTTGATTAATAGCTGTATAGATATAAAATGGATTTACTTAAAAAATATGTTTTTGTCGCCCACTGAGGTAGTGGTTAGTAACTCCGACTAACTTACAATAGGGACTGGCTTCGAATCCTGGTAAGGGTATGAATATTTGCAAATGTATCGTGTCTTTGCGACATGTTGGTACTCTAAATGTATGGCGAGCCAAAAGTTCTATCGTGTGGATTGGAGGTAGAAAAGGGTAGAGGATCTTCGGACCAATCGCCGATGTGCTCTCCTTCAAGATTGGGGGTCGAACTAGGTCAAATCGTGCTGTTACCTGTATGGTTTAAGTCTCTTGCCAACGACACTCGTAATCTTCTTGAACTCCTTGCCATGATGAATTTCGTGGGCTTGTTCTGATGTCAGATAAACTAGCTTGTCATAACTGCAATAACGTAATATTCTCTTTTATTTTATGTTCGAAAATGCACTATTAAGTTTACACCAAACGTTTTTGCAAATTATATGTGAACCTTTTAGTGCATTCGAAAATTTCCGACCCTTATCACGTACTATTTATTTTTAATATGTGGAATTATAGTTTTGTAAAGTAAAATAAACTTAAAATGGTATTTCTCTGTCGTAAAAAATCGCCCTTATAAGTAACACAAAGTAAACTCAAACTACTTCTAAATCTTTATATCACTTATTTACAAACAGCACATCTACTATCCAAACTTTTGACTTTTAGGGATTCAGCAAGAACTAATTCTCAGCGAGATACAGTGGTGGTACGACGAATGCTTCAGAAGATCCATGTTTTTTAAACTCTGTTACATGTCTGAACGAATATTACGATATGAACAAAGAACAATAGGATAAAGTTTACCATAAATTTATCTGGTAGTAAATCTCAAGATAATTGTCACAAGGTTTAATCAGATTCGAAACACCTCATTTTTACCCAAAGGCAAAATTTCCTCAGAAGCGATACTAATTTCGTTTCGCGTTGGTTCACCATGAACGGCGTTTCAGTTTTCAAACTATTGCCACCAAATATTAGACTATACTATATTTAAAGAAAATTAAAGTTTCGAAAATCTGCATAAACGTATCTTTGTTTCTCGCACTGTGATAAAACAGCAGTACCTAGAGACATCAAATTTTGAATAACTTAGTCCTCCATTTTATGGGCATCTGGAAGCACAAATTTGGAAGTTTTTTTTTATTATCTATTTCATATTTAGTAAACCTTAACGAAATTTGATTAACCAACTCAACGATTTCAAAGAGAGCAATGGCAACACTGTACGAAAAAATGGCCGAAATAAAAAATCCTTTGGCCGTAATATAAAATATGAATGCTTTCAGATTTTTTGTAATGTTTTTTATTTGCTTTGGAATCCTGTAAAATAAATTGGAATGGAAATATAATACTGCATGTTTTAATGTGGAATAATAAATTAAATTTTACTTTATGAAAAGTGCTTAAAACATAAATTAAATTACACATTTAACTTTCAAAGCAAATGACGCGCAATATATAAGCCACATTTGTTTTTTGTCTGGCGAAAAAGCTTTTTTGAGAATTTTATAAATTTTTACCAGACATGTTCGAAACGAAATCAGTCAGCAAGAAAATTCGCTTTTTGCACATACTTTCCTATTTCATTCTCAACATTTCACTTTTCTTTCTGTACATCTTGCCAAAATTTTGCTTGCTTGTTGTTTTGTAAAGGAAATCAACGGATATCCACAAAAGTAAAAACAAATTTTATTTACAGATTTTTTTTTTAATTTTACTTTTATTTCCTTTTTCAGAGTCTCTGCTCAATTTAGAACGCAGCAAGTGGGAGCAAAATAAATAGCATAGCGCCAAATGAAATAAACAAACAATACGTTAAAAAGTTCTTTTCCCCAAGTTTTAGGTTCTTTAGAAAACAAGTTGCTTACCCTTTTTCTGTTTTCTTGCACAGTAACCTTGGGCAGAAAGACAGGATAGAACAGAAATGGAGGAAAAAATAATAATAGAACAAATAAGGTTATCAAAAGAGTGAAAAGAATATCGGATGGTGATCTTCTAGTACCAAAGCAATATATGAAAAAGCACTACGTTCTCAATAAACAGATCCGTCCTTATCCACTTCTGGACGAAAGGATTACTGGATGGATTTTCGTTGGCAAATGGTCCGGACATTGCAGATATAGTTTACTTTAGCGTTTTACTCATGTGTATCTCGACATGTGTGAAAGTTTTCACGGATAACTAAATTCTTTTCACTGGAACCTCAACTGCAAGCTTTGCAGATGTATTTAAATATATTCTGGAAATTTTTCTTTTTGGCTCGATCTAAAGTTTTCTCTTTTCACTTTTTTTCTTACAAAGTTGTGTTTATTTATTTATTCAATGATGGCTTTTCTTCGAATTTGCATCAGTGATTTGTTGCGTAATTCTTTTGTGAAAAATGATGTACTGTAAGAATGTAGATATAAATAAAATTATTGTCTCTTTTGTTCATCATTTACTGCTAATATAACTGTAGACATAAAAGTATAAACAAACACAATATGTTTTAATTAACTTTACAACTCTGCTTTATTATTATCATTATTTATTTGTTACGCCCTAAGGTACTACACAGAAGCGAGGGATGCCTTCGTGGAGGAATTTCTAAGGAAATTGGCTCATATTAACTTGCTACATATGACAGAAACCACTAAAACGCCTATGCAGCGATCCCGTTCGCGGGATTCGAGCCTCGGACCGAACTACCAGTGTTCAGGGACTTTACCTCTCGGCCGCTGGTGGGTCTAAACACTCTGCATTTCGACTGCAAGTTTTACCATTTATCTTCTAAAAGAACTGAAATTACAGCTTCAAGAAGCTAATTAAAGTCTTTCACCTGCTTTGTTTGAATTTCCACTAATTACATACTAATTTGATTTACAGAAAAATGTATATTATTACCATTTAAAAGGGTAAATTTTTCCAATAATCCGCAAAATTTTATTTATTTAATGCTTAAACAAGGCTGCTATTTTATTCTCATCTGTATGCTGCAATTTATATGAACATAGTATAAGTATGCATTAATGTAACTTTTGCATGTAATCATTGGTACGTATATCATAGTTTGAACACCATAATTAATTTAGAACCATAAACTGTTTCTTCCACTGTGTAGAAATAATAGGTTCTTTCCATGAGTGGACATGACATAAAACAATATAGGTGTAAAATTGAAAAAAAATTTTTGATTGTTCCGAAGCCTTCAAAACGACACTAACTGAACCTACGCGTGTCTCTCTGAATTTGTATTAAAAAAGAATGAAAACAAAGTCGTTTTTATTATATTCTCGAAATACTCACCGATATTCTGAAAGCGGACCCTCTTCTATTCAATATGTGACCTTTTGACCAGTAATGTTGGGCAGTAGAAGACTTATGTGTTTCCTTATCCTTAAAAAATGTCTCATGCTCCACAGTACAAAAATTCAAGGCTGTCTTAGTTTGATCAATATATATCCCAAAGAAATCACATCCTCAGTTTTTCTGCAGTCAAAATTTATATAAAAACAACTTCTATTGACGAATTAAATTTTCTAGAGATGTTTTACATTATTAGATCCTTTCAGTTCTAGTTAATGATCTCAATTCTAATCTGCCATTACTGTAAGCTTTTAAGAACAATTTTTTATAAATTGTTTTCTCTTTGTTGTCAATATATGTCGTCAGTAGCTCATCTGTTGTTAACGCGTGTACACAAGCTTCTCTTTCGTCGTTTTCACTCCTGTAGCTAGAAAAGAAGTTTTTATTCAAACCTTCAAAATTATTCCTGCGAGTTTATGAAAATAACGCTAGCTCTTGTTGCTTCAGATTTTGTAGCAATCTTACTTTTTGCTTTGTTATGTGATAATTATCATGTAATACAATAGCTGATATTTAGTATTGTTCTCTGACTCATACGAGTCTAACTCATATACTGCGTTAATTTACGTAAATTTTTAAACATATTCCTAGCAAATTTCAGCGCACTTCAGAACTATAAGTTCACTACTTCAGAACTATAAGTAGAAATGACAGTTGATTATGTGTAGGAAAGAAAGATTGCTTATTCATTTCAACCTAAGCCTAGTTGGTGCTGAGTAGTTGCTTCAAGTCCTTAATTTATTAAAGGAGGTTGAAGGTATCAAAATTATATAAAAATACACAGAAAATAGTTTCATGTAACCAAACTCAAGAAAATATGCTTATTTCATTAAATAAAATGTACAGTTGTGGCCAAAATTGTGGACACTTTTGGAAATTTTTATGTTTTTGAACTTTGTATGCTTATAGAAAACGTTACGTTTCACAAAATGCAAACTTGTATATATCATTTTAAAGAGAATTTATTACTGAATTCAATACAAAATGCAAACTTGTATATATCATTTTAAAGAGAATTTATTACTGAATTCAATACAAAACACAAAATTCAATTGTTTGCAATACAAAAAAAGTTAAACGATAATAGTTATCGACATACATTAGATAGTGATGATTGCAGTGATAATAGTTATCGATATACATTAGATAGTGATCAGTATTTAGTAGGGTACAATTTATTTTTGATTACAGCTTCACATCAACGTTTCATTGGGCTGACAAGAGTTTTAAGTTCTTCTTTCGTTATTACATGATGCCAGGAAACAATTATAGTCTCAATTAGTTCCCTTTTATTTGATGGGTGCCTCATTCGGACAAGAGTTTTCAAACGGTGCCACAAATTTTCGATAGGATTGAGGTCAGGACTGTTTCCTGGACATGACAACAATTTAATGCTCTTTATACGAAAACACTCTTTCGATATTTTGGCAGTCTGGCAAGGACAGAATCCTGCTGAAAAATAAACGAAGCATTGTTGGGAAAGAGATCTCTGATGGAAGGTAGAAGTTTTTGTTCTAAAATAGTGTCAATGTATTTTTTGGCATTCAGTGTCCCATCGATGACATGAAGGCGACCAATACCATCTTCTGACATGCATGACCAAATCATAACACTAACTGGGTTCTTCACAGTTGCTTGAATGCAGTCAGGATGTAGGTCTTCTCCTATTTTACGTCTTAGATATTTTCGCCCATCACTACCGAATAACGATATGTTAGTTTCATCACTCCATATAACTTGTGACCACTGATCATCTGTCCAATTAATGTGTTTTTCGCTCACTGTAGTCTTTTTTTTTTTTCGTTGCTGAAAATTAAGATAAGGCTTTTTTCGTGGAATTCTACCTATCAGTCCATCATCTGTTAATCTTCTACTGATTGTTCTTGAACTGACAGAAAATCCAGCATCATTCAGATCACTTCTGATGACCGCTGATGACATTTTTCTATCTTGGAGACATAGTCGTTTTATTCTTCTGTCATCAATAGATGTGGTGCACCTTTTACGGCCTTTTCCTTCTTTGTTTTTTATTGAATTTGTCTCCTGATAACATAAACAAAACTTTCGGACTCCAGATGTAGTCACTGAACCCACCCACCTGTCTTGCAATTTTAGCATAGGAAAGACCCCTTTCTCGTAAAACAATAATATTACATCTATTTCTAGGTGTCCAATCTACTCTTTTATTTGATGTGATTGCTTCTTGACTAAATATTAAATTTTTTTACAAAAATCCCTACTTATAATTGTAGTGTATAAGAAACAGGTCCTCCTTCTACAGAACAAAGCAAAATAATGAATTGTTTCAAGTGTAAACATGATGTCAGCTTCTACTGGCAGTTACTAACATTTGATTGGTTCTCAGAACAAGAACAGTGATTGGCCAGGAAAGCTAGACATTACAAACCACTTCATAACTGTGTATTTTATTTATATTAAAGTACATATAACTTTTTTTTGTATTGCAAATAATTGAATTTTGTGTTTTGTATTGAATTCAGTAATAAATTCTCTTTAAAATGATATATACAAGTTTGCATTTTGCGAAACGTAAAATTTTCTATAAGCATACAAAGTTCAAAAACATAAAAATTTACAAAAGTGTCCACAATTTTGGCCTTCACTGTAATACAAGGATCAGTAAATACCTTTATGCTAGAAATTTGCATTTTTGTTTTACTTAAGTCTGAACTTACGATAAGCGGTATCTTTGGCATTAAATAGATTTATAGGGCGGTCAATCAAATAAGAACTCGCTTCAGCTATCTATAAAAGGATTCTAAATATTTCTTTTCTTAAATATTGTGAGTCGGTATATTCTTTTCATATAATGTGTTTTTTATTGCGAGTCTAAGCACCTTAATTTTTGTTTATTTCGATTAAAGAAGATGTTTTAATGAGCTGCTTAGTTTTTGTTGTGAATTATTATAATCTCATGTTTAGTTTACAATCCTTGTAAAAATAGCATTTTTGATGATAAAATTTTATTTCTACAGGTAGAAAAGATTAATGCCAGTTTTAAATTTAAACAATTCATAAATCTGAATAGCCTCACGTTTTAATGCACAGTATTTCATAATTGTATTTATGGCTGAAATTAAAAGTAATATGCAATGAGTACGTAAGCAATGAGAAAGTGCTTATAAGCAGTACGTTCAAGAGTGAATAGGATGCCTTCGCTATTTGTTAAGCAATGTGCAGTTTTTAAACGTTAACTGTTAACGCATGCGTATGGTGTCTGCAGACTTACTATAGGCAGACTAGAAAATCGAATAAAAGCTGTAGTTCCTAACTAGAATTGTTGATTTTTACTCTGTGTATCTTTGTCACCGCTTTCCATTTAAAGGTCGACTTGTGATATTGTAGAATGCCAGTCAGGGAGATCGAAAGCCTCAGTAGCGCAGTAGACAGCGCGTCAGTTTCATAATCTCTCAATGCGAGAAATCTGAAGGTCGTGAGTTCCATCCTGTAGCATCCTTTTGGCCGTCCTGTCCCATGATTATCTTTTTCTTTCCGACCTGCAGATGGAGCCAGCTGTGCCACTCGCTCCCAGTTCTTGCCAGTTATGGAGAGTAAAACGTCTTCGCTTTCTACTTTATTTCTGTGATCTTCCCTGAGAAATTCAGTTAAGAAACTCTAACTTTCGTCATGCCCTTTGGGGACTCTCTAAGGAACTGGTAAGAACTATTTTAAAATAAGCGCATGCCAACACAACAAGTAGTTCCCAGCCACATCAAAGCGTTGAAGATATATCATCCATCGGCATTTTGTATTCAAACGTCATTCGACAGGTTCGTTGTGTTTCTTGTGAGTAGAAAGTCCGAAAAATGAAACATGTTCTCTCGAATCGAACACAAGTCCGTCTATTTTCCTGTTGCATCAGCTGATTACAGCATCTCAAGCACACATAGGATGAATGCCTGTAAAATGTGATCTATAATCAGAGTTATTTAGGACATAG